GAAGGGGAGATAAGGACGATAGATGTTTGATAGGAAAGAAGAAGCAGACCACACCAGAGCACCCGCCAACCACCCACCCCGGGGGGTATGAGTATAGTCTATAGAGCAGCTATGCACAGGACTCAAGTTAACACGTACATGTACACGGACTCGGGCTGTGGTCCTAATAAAAATATTGAACTCGCATACCCCTGTGTAGTAAGTTTCAAAATAAAGATTTGCGGGTCATTTAATGATGTACTCATGCTTCCCTTTGATCGAGACTGTTTTCATATAAAGCGCAACTTCTCAACGATCGGCCTAAAGTTGGGCAAAATCCTGGCAATTCCAGGAATCAAGATATAATATCCAGATTTATTCAGAATTCGGCACTTCTGAAAGAAATAAAACATCTAGATCTAGATCTAGGCCTAGCCTCATATAGATCTATTAAATTAGTAGAAAATCTGGACCTACACAAAGACGAAACAACCGGCTACTTTCGGTTTTTCCCTTCCTGTTTATTTTATTGTTTGTGTTTACTAGTGATATTCCAAGTCTAATGGGAATAGTCAGTTTGTCTAGGACTTTCTATTCCCAAGTCGCATTTTCTGAATTTGGTTTACGTTCTCTGATTGATTGAGTATCGTTTTTTAAACCAAAAAGCGTTTAATTCTGAGTGCTGACTTTGAAAAACATACATGGAAGACTTGGAATAGCGCACCGACAGTCGACAGGGGACACGTTATTCCCAGACAACTGGGGATAGCCACTGTGTTCTACATCATGTGGCTTGTCTGTCATGTGACCAACAAGATGGCAGACGAATGACTGCGACGACAGACTGGTCTCGCTTATATTTGAGGACACGTTTAATTTGCTTTTGGGGGAGAGAAAAGAGGAAGGAAGCTTTGGCCCAATCGATTAGATTTTGAGTTTATCCTGGCAATACTCATTTATATAAGAGCGTACATGTTAGTCTCAAATGCTTAAAAAATGAGTGTTTTCAAGAAACTTAAAGGGACCTTTCAAAATGCTCAACAAGATTTTGTTGACGGGTAAGTTTAATTAATCTAAGGCCTATTAAAGTTAAAGTCTGTTAACTCATTCGCTACTCATTATTTTGGGCTTGTGGATGAATTTTCCTCTGGAGGGCGAAATGAGATGATAACTAAGTGTGCAGTTAGTTCACAGACTTTGTTTGTTGGGGCCACAAATTCAGGGAATGACCACAGGTCAGAGTAGAACAGGAAGGGTAGGGTAATAGTAATAGGGGGTGCCCACTAGCGCGATCGGGTTGGGTCGGGTTGATTTGTTTGTCAGGGATAGTCAAATTGAGGGTGCAAAGTGATCGACTCAGTCGGTGACCTTAAAAAATAAACACGTTTGTTTTCAGGCCTGTGAGTCACGCCCACGCCATCGGGTGTTTTGCAGCCAATCACAACAAGGCTGAGTCACGTGTCCATGTTGACACTGCGATTGCGATGTCAAAGTTGGGCATATCTGAGCAAAATACCATCAACAATTGACAACAATGGAGTCCATCGGCTTAGAGAAGATAATAATAGAAAATTATTGATGTAACCCACTCAAAGAAAGTACCGATCTCATTGGGCACTTGCCAGTAATAGGGTTAACCTTGTCCCTGTGGATGAACACACATGATCCTCAATCCTCTGTCTTCCTACAGATTTTGGTTTTAGAGGACTCCACTGTAATATCATATTCCAATGCCATGATCATAATTATTCTATTTTTATTAATGTTAGAAGTGATCATTTGATTCCACTTAGGATTTGTCTAATTATAATTTTATTATAATAAATTAGTTTCCTCAATTTTCTCAATGTTTTCCAGTCTGCGAGCTCTCACATCCCTAGATGGCCAACCCCGGCATGAACAGCTCAAAGACATCCGAGCCAGGCAGATCAACCTTGATGCAGGAGCAGACTTACTTCACAGGTTTGGGCAACATCTACTTCTAGTGCTGAGTGTTTGACAAATCTTTTGTTTGTACCGCACGAGAAAAAGGAGATGAAACCGAGTAGTCAATTTCTTCTTCTTTTTTTTAAACTGTTTTTTTAAAGCTGTTGATTTTTGTGGCAGCAAGACTTCTTCTCCTTCTTCTTCTTCTTTGTTTTTTCCAGTAGTTTGATATTGCTTTTCGGACCTTTCTGTGATAAAACACCCTGTCTCTTGCCATTCTGCCTGCCTGAGTTGTTTTGGTTTTGTAAAGGCGTGGATGGTCGATATAATAATAATAATAATAAATAGCATTTATACTGCGCATTTCCATTTCCTAAAAGATGCTCAATGCGCATTACAATGAAAAAGACATCACATCTTAAAAATTAATCGACACAAATGTGTACGTAAAACAAAGTATTATACATATATAATATAAATGCAATGTGTAAAATTTTATAGGCCTACCAGAAAAACAGTCTCGCAGTGAGGTTGAAAATGTGTTCACTAAAAATATACAATGCAATAAAAATTCACGAACAGTCAAAATAAAGTT